GGATGACGGCCGCCTGCAGGCTTACGGCCGCTCCCCTAGCCGGCCGTCGCTTGCACGTGTTGGCGAGAAGGGTCAGGAGCATCCGAGCGTGCTTCAGCTAAATTGCCCTGTGTCCGCTCTGTAGAACTGTCTTCTCTCTGAATCTACCACATAGAAGATAGCACAGCCTCGCCCGGTAGTCGAACCCCCGACGTCAGCCGCGCGCACACAATATCGCCTCAAATTATCGCCGCAAGCCGAAATTAATTAGAGCGTGGATTCCCTGTAGAGACCTTTCTTCCCTAATCACCTCAAAGCCATTCATGCCTCTCGCTGTATAACGAGAGTCCTGTCTGCCGGGGGTGAGGTCCACCGCTGAACATCACGCAAAGGGTGGCGTCCGGGAGGAGAGAGCGGCCGGGAAGGCAGGCGGGGTGACGGAGAGCACTCTTCATACGCAGCCCCGGGCGTTTGGCGAATAATCAACCATCTGCTATGCGCCGTGTATACGCGCACGTTGGATGCGATCGACGGCAGCGCAAACCGTCAGAGGTCGTCAGCGTCACAAAGACCCTGCAGACTACACGCGAGAAACTGTCCTAATATTAATACGCCGATGAACGTTTTTCCGCACAGGACAAAATTGCAGAAATAATTCTCATGCGCCATAGTCCGATCGTCGCTCCTCCGAGTTTGCCCCAAGGGTAGGTAATGAGTGTATGATTTCCGAGTGTGTCCGAATGTCGAGCTGTGTGACGCGGCGGGCGAGGCGCGGGGCGTGGGCGCGCAGAGCCGAAGAAGGAGGGGAGCGACGTCTCCATCAATGAGACAGTCGGTCCGTACAGAGAAGAGGGCGCAAGCGAGTAAAGGGGGTAATTTTAATTTGTCCTCTATTCTCCGTCTCCCTCGCACTCCTCTCTCTATCAGGCGTGGGCGCGGCGTAATACCCGTCCGCGCACAGTTCAATAATAAATATCGAACCCGGGAGCCAGCTGTGGCCGTCGCCGGGGCGGGGCGTAGCAGGGCGAGGCGGGGCGGGCGCCCAGTTCCCAGGTGTCACAGGCGTAGAATTAATTCCGGGCCGATCTGTTCGGACGGGCCGGTCGGCCGGTCGGCCGGCGGCCGGTGGGGCTCCGGCCCCGGCGCACCTGGCGCTGCCCGCTCCGGCCCGCTCCAGGCGGCTCCAGGGCCACGTGCGGCCCGGCCAGCACCCTGTAATTCCAGGCGGCGGCCGAATTTCAGGCGTGAAAATTCCACGGCAACAAGAGAGCAGCTGGATGGGGCGCCGTTTGGGGATGGGCGGACCTGGACAACGGCGCGGACGACCTGAAGGCGAGGACAGCGATGAAAACCGCCTCGACGCGCGACAGTGAAAACGATTCACGACGACGACGTGGACAAGAACGAAAATGGTGGTGGACGAGGTGTGGAGGTGGAGGAGGTGAAGGAGGTGGTGGTGGTGGTGGAGGAGGTGGTGGTGTTGGAGAAGGAGGTGGAGGAGGTGGAGGTGGCTGCGGATGAAGATGAAGGCCCCCCACAGCCCCCGCGCGCGCCCTCTCGGATGCATAACCAAGTCCCGTCGGGCTGTGA